GACTCGATTCTTGGCTGATTGCTACGCTTGATAAACTGACATATCGGAAGATTTTTGCTGGTCTTCCTCGCATTCCGGTCTTTCCTTTTGCAGGTCTTCCTAGTTTGCGTCGTAAACCAATTGTTGGAGGTCTCATTAGATGTCCGTCGCATTTTTCTTTATTTTGAGTTACTCTCCCTGGCTCTCGAGTTTCTTCGTGTGGTTGATTGTATTTGAACGTCTCTGGTCTCAATAATTTTTCCCGTGTCGTTTCTTCTTATTCTATAGGCTTTTGCCGTGCGTGAATATCCGACTAGTGTGCCTTCAATACCTTTTTCATCTAGTTTTCGTCGTCCTGATCCTTCATCAAGTACAAATGCCTTTGATCCGAATACTCTAAGATGACGTAGGAGTGGTCTGGTACCAATCCACAGCTCATACGGTGTCATCCCTTGGTGACTTCTGCTTGGGCTTCTGTTCCTCAAGTAGTTCGCGGTCAGGATAGCTTCACCCCAATACATCGTGGGCAATTTTGATTGGATTAACAAGCATCTGGCCATTTCGACGATCGTTCTGTTCATACGTTCAGCTACTCCATTTTGCTGAGGTGTGTATGGCGTTGTCAGGCGTCTTTGTATGCCTTCCTGCTTCAAGTAGTCGTCGAATGGTTTGTTGCAGTATTCTCGACCATTGTCTGATTGCAATTTCTTGATCTTCTTTCCTGTTTGACGTTCTGCGAAGTTTTTGTATTCTTTGAATGCTTGGAATACTAGATCTTTGCTTTTTAGTAAGTACAGCTCGCACCAGCCGCTGTAGTCGTCAATGAATTTACGAAGTATCAGTTTCCACCTTCTGATTTAGTATTAGATGGTTGGCACAAGTCTGAGTGAACTATCTCGAGTAATTTTGTGCTCCTCTTAGTTCTTGGTTCGAAAGGTTTTCTTGTCATCTTTCCTCGATGACATATGTCGCACGGCATCCTTCCAGAAGTTAATCTCTTGATTCCTGTTGCCTGTCCTCTTGACAGTTCAACAACTGCGTCCATGTGTAGATGCCCCAGTCGCGCATGCCACAGTTGAGCATCTGTAGTACTCGTTTCTTGTGGTGTCACAGCTCCAGCTCGTTCATCAGGCTCTCGTAGGTAATACAGGTCTCCAACTCGATCTGCTATCATTACTGTTTCTCCTTCTAGGTCCATAATAATAGCATCATCTTCCCTGAATAGTACCTCTCGATTATTTCGAGTGAGTTTTGGCACAGAAATTAAATTAGTACGGAGATCTGTTGTTGATGCTGAATTTGCCATATTTAATGTCGCTGTACATTCTTGCAAATCGGTCATCAACTGTTCACTGGAACACATGTGCGATGTGCAGCCGCTGTCTAAGCACCATCTGGTCGTCGTTGTCACGTTCCTTACCTCTTCAGGTTTTAATATCTCCATGTAGTTGCTTTCTACCTACTCAACCTTCTTAACTGAGTTTTTACCTCGTTCTGGACATTTTGCTGCCCAATGTCTGTTTGGATTTTGCTTTATTTTTACCTGGGTGACGGTATTAATGTCGTCGATCACCTGCATACAAAGCATTATCTTCGTTGTCAGCTTCCGATGTGTTTCTGCTTCTTTTTTCATCCAGCTTTCTACCTACTCAACCTTCTTAACTGAGTTTTTACCTCGTCCTGGACATTTTGCTGTCCAATGTCCTGTTTTACCGCATATGTAACATGACTGTTTGGATTTTGCTTTATTTTTACCTGGGTGTCGGTATTAATGTCGTCGATCACCTGCATATAAAGCATTATCTTCGTTGTCATCTTCCGTTGTGTTTCTGCTTCTTTTTTCATCCAGAATTTTACCAATTAATGTTTCTGTATTGAATAATTCATCTTTGGATCTTATTGCGCATCGAAAGTTCTCAAAGCTTGGAGGTAGTCCTTTGAGAATTAGTACAACTAACATATCATTTGGTATTTCTACTTTCATATCTTCTAAGTGTTCGACGGCACTCATGAAGCTGTCCAGGCGTTCCTTGAAGTCGTCGTCCTCGTCGATTTTGAATGATGTGACGTCGGTCAGCAGATCTATCTTCCTAACTGGACCTTTTGACGCATGTACTGACTGTAATTTGTCCCAGACTTCTTTAGATGTTTCACATTTGGACACTGTCTTAATTTCAGTGTTTCCTATCGATAGTAGGATGTCTGCCTTTGCTTTTTCATCTTCTTTTCTCCACGATGAAATATCACGCTCTGTCGCAGCACTTCCTACAGGTCTTGTAATTTCACCGTTTACATATCCCCATCGATCATGCTTTCCTAGAATCGATCTAATACGTATTTGCCAAAAGTCGTAATTTTGCTTGTCTAGCATTTAAATTCTCGATGATCCGTTGTGTGCCATTTTTAGGTTATGTTTTTCCACGCGGTCAATTACACGCCGACTTTTTTCTTTTTCTTATTATTTAAATTAGCACTTTACTCGCTGCGTTAATCTACGATCACTGGGCCCATAACCTGTGGGAGTTAAGCAGTGGATGAGTAGTTAATTAATTTAATTAGAAATGTAATTTGGGTATACGACAACAGTTTGTTGTTCGTGTGATATACATTGGTTACTTGTGAACGACTACTATTGATTTCATATTTTGTCTTTTCCCTGTTTGTCTTTTCCCACAAAAGACAAAAATTAAGTGTATAAAGCCAAGGGCTATTAATTTGAACCAGCGAAAAGTAATTAATTTTCAAGGAGAAAACCTTTCGATAGTATTAATAGTAGTTTTTAAACTATTGAAACTATCGAGTGGTCCGGACACTCGGACACGGACACTATTTTGGTAATATTCTGTTCAAACTATCTCTGATAACCGGATAAAATTTCATAAAATTTATAAAGAAATTTGTGTACAATTTGTAATTCTCTTTTTTTTATACACTTGCAACATGTTGTTACAGAGTATAATAGTTTTGTTCACATAACGGTTTTTTGTATCACCCAAAAATAATCGAATAAGATATAGGGTATCTATTGTAACGGACTTCTCGAAAAATTGTCTACCTTGTAACTCACTCTTGAGTTGGATCACTGGATTGTTGAATAAAAGTCCCAATTTAATGGCTATACACTTATCTTTATTTCTAATTCCAACAACTTAGCACTTATTGCTCGTTATTCGAGCTTATAACTTCTTGCTATGTCTCAATTGCTCTTAACACGACAAAACTTTATCTAGAACTGTGTTTGCTGCACAATTCGTCAGCCCTTATATAGTAAATCTTTAACAAAAGTTCGCTACTAGAACATTCTGGCAACTAAGAATTCGCTGTCTAGTTGCTTCTGGCAATTTATCGTCGGTTCGATTTTTTTCTATCATCCGTGTTCGTCTCAAATATAAATGATCAGGATGATGAGACGAGTTGAATTCCCAGTGACTGTCTGTCAGTACCATTGTATAAGCCTACAAGTAACCAAGGAATCAGCTGTTTGCCTAGATTTATACAATCGTCTGTACGTGCGTTCGTCTGTGCAAGCGATAATTAGAGTAAAAAGTAAAACGAGTTCGTAGATGGGCGTAAACGCACTACAGGCACGCCCACAAAACGTCACTAATCGAAAACGTATAAAATGACATAACTAAAAACTAAATTAATATATAAACCTGTTATTTGGTACAGGTGATTGCAGTATTGACTTGTATTGACAACGGAACGGAACGCCCACTCCCTATATCTCACAGTTTTAAATTACATATAATTCTTTCACTTTCCAGTACACAAATCAAGCAATAATAAATATATTCGGATGAAACTTGAGTTTAACAGGTTCGATTACACCCGATCTTAGCCTTTATCACTTTTTTTAAATTCTCTTTGTTTTAAGAACAACAAAACTGTCAAAATGACTTTTAATTGGAATTTATCGTACATATATTTCCGTTCAGGAATAAAATAATGCTTCTCTGTTTTCAATTTTTAATAAATTGAAGTACTGTTTTTATTTTGCTGTATAAATGTTGAAAATAAATTTATAAGAACATTTAGCAGCATTCATTAAACATGTTGACGGTTTTGCTCCCCAGTTTATACATTAGGGTGGGCCGAAAATCCGTTGTTTTAGAATTTTCATTATTAATACCGAAAATATTTTTCTTTGTTAAAAAAAAAATATTAAAAAAAAAAAATTTCGGTCGACATCTTAGGCTTGCCAAATCTAGTTAAAGTTAAAAGTTTTTGGAAATTTTTTTTCTTACCTTATATCGATCGGAAATTTAATTCTCTACAAAAAAGGTCCTGTAGTAAAGTTACGTAAGGTTTTTCTAGAGTTGATTGTTACTGAAATAACGAGCATTAAATTTCCGACCGAAAAATTTTTTTTTCTTGAAAATATTTTTTTTTTAACAAAGAAAAATATTTTCGGTATTAATAATGAAAATTCTCAAAAAAAACCGATTTTCGGCCCTCCCTATTACACATAGGTCGTTCCTAAATACAAATATTAGGTGCACAACTAAGTTTCCGCTGGTTTGCAATATAATTCCAGCAGTTAGAGCTAATCGATTTGAAAAAGAAACTGTGTTTCCACATTAGTGACTTTGTTTATGTGTCATATAGATTTGGTTGTGCGAATGTGTGCGAATTTTTGCCAAATAATCGCCATTTGCGGGAAGTGTTGAATTTCTTCTTTCAGTCAAAGAAATTGGTAGCTGTATTCGAACTTCGCCAGAAAGATGGGAAGAAGTTGTGACTAGCGATGGGCAATGTAAATGAGACATTTCTAACAATAAAATGCAAAATATGTACGAAATTATCACAATTTTCTTGTTTTTCGTAGTGAACTTTTTACAGCTAATAAAAAAGTAGAACTGAAAGTAATTATCGCTCAACAAAGCAATATTTCAATGAACAAAGTATATTCAGCAGTTTTGTTTTAGAGTTTCTAAGCCGCAGTTCTTTTTCTTAGCTGATTTAATAATTAGAAGTATACCATAATTTAAATAAAATTTTTAAAAAGTAATCTCCGACTTTACCCCAAATGGGACTCGAACCCACAATCTTCGGCTTAGGAGGCCGACGCCTTATCCATTAGGCCACTGGGGCGAACAAACCAAATTGTCGATATTCTTAATTTTAAACACGTAAGCGTTAATTATTTTTCTGTTTATGATTCTTAACAGATTAATTACGATGTAAACTTACGTTCTTTGTCACCTACTACCAGAGAATGTTGAAGAATAGAGAAGGAGCAAATGTTAACTGAAAACTTTTTGAGTACTAATTTGTAATTCCACATGAAGGAACATCGAAAAATATAACTTCGAAAAAGAAAAATACACCACACAATGTGCGAAATGCTATAAATAGACACAACGAATATTCCTATATGAAAAATCGTTGCGCATACCTATTTAGATTTATGTTTTCAATTTCTATGATATGACAAATTTATAATTATGAAAAGCCTTTTGAATTAAAAAGGAGGATTACTGGCAAAACCCCCAGAATTCATAATAAAATAACCTTTGATATGCAATTTTTCCAACTTTTGTATATGCGTTGCGTAAGCAATATACTTATCAAACAAAAGATAACAATAAAACAGTGGCTAAGCGGCCGCGTTTCCATTTATATAGTGGCTTAGGTCGTAGGCGTGAAGGAGTTAAGCTCAATCCGAATACGAGCATATACGTTCGAATCGTAAAATACATAAAACTCAAAATTTTATTTAATTTTTTTATTTTATTAATAGGAGTCTAAGCATATCATAATTCAATTTCTTTAATAGCATATTTTACTTCCTAATATAATTAAAATATATCAGGAAAATATGTTCATATGATTAGGTTTATTGAATATTTTCTTATTATGCGTATTTACACAAATGTGATAATCACACATACATTCTTAAATACACGTACGCAGATGCTTGCCTCCTCTTGCCCCGCACAAGCAATGACTTTTGTCTACGCTTTTTGCTTTTTGCGGGTTGAACGATCGCAGGCAAGGAGGGATTGGGGCGCACTGCCACATAATTATTTCAGATATATATTATATTTATCGAATTTAGTTTAAAAACGATTATAGGTATGAGTTTATGTGTATTTATATATATATATATAATATATATTATAGTACGAAAAAAATTCATAAATGCATCAGTATTTTTCAATACAAATTAAGCAACATAATAATATACTAAGAGCCCTCAGTTAGAACGCCTCTGTGTATAGTGGCAAGCCAACGAAATAACGGCGAGTTCGCGCAGACATTGTGTTGTTGAAAGTAACCAAATGACAATTTTGTCGACAAACATACATATATACATATGAGCTCGCATACATATTGACGCCGAATTTTGCGCATCGTGGCGGAGTTGACAAAATTTGTTTCAATCGACAATTTTACGACAATGTCGATCGGCTATGTTGTCTCGTTTGTCCTTTTTGCAGGGCTTTGCTGTTGAAAATTGACTTATGCTCTTTTGGAATATTGCGATTATTAGCAAAATCTCACTCTATAAGCAAAATGTATATACATACATATGCACAGATGTTCTTTGATATGCGCATAAACAAAACTTAAAATAATAAAAAGGAAAATAATTGGCTTATGAAAAGAAAATATAAGTAATGAGGGAAATAATATGAAAATAAAATTCAAAATATCATTTAATAAAAAAGGGTTTATAAAAATAAATTTAAATAATTTATATCTGTGATAGGATTTGAACTTAGGCAAAATATTTGATGTTGCAATAAAGAATTGTGCTATACAAGCAGCTCCACAGATAATTTCTTATTCAAATAGTCGAATGTGTGAATTCAAACATCAATAATTTTTTTACTTGTTTCAAATTACTAATTTGTATGTATGTGAATATTCTATTGATATGAATAATCAATCGTATGATAGAATCTGACGAAAGAGAGTATGCACCTGATTGGTCATATTTTAACGGCCAAAATAGAAATACAGCTAATATTTGGTGTGAAATTGCGCCAAAATAAAGGAAGAGAAAATCCAATAAATGCAAATCAGAAAATAGTTGTGAATTGGTTTAATTGCCATTTATATGAAATTGCATCCAAATAGAAAAGGAGAAAAAATGAAATTTCAATGTTGGAATCAAATATACATATGTACATATGTAGGATATATGTTTTAATAAATAAATATAAATTGTAGTAAAGTAGTTAAAATATAGTTTAAATAGATTTTATTATTATTTTAATTAAATAATAAATTAATTAATAAAATATAAATAAATATAAATTAATTTATTTCCATTTAATTCGTTAAATATTTGAGGTTTCGATAATACATAGGTAAGTATACAATTTTTTGATTTGACCACCAGTTAGTGTTCACTTCGTTTGCACAAAGCAGCTAAAAATAGAAATTCATACATAAATACGTGAATTGCCACGGTCTGTTTGTATGCACTATGACTTGTATACATACAAACAATTCAATATGCCATATACTTGTATTCATAATTACAAGAAGAAAAAATTCATTCATGCATATGCATATCTACATACATGAAAACGTGAATATGTCACGGTCTGTTTGTATGTACACACGTCATATGCTCTTCAATATGCCATATATTCATACAAAAAGAACAAATTCATTCATACATATATCTACACATTCAAATAACACCAACAACAAATTCATTCATATACATATGTATATATCTATCTATGTATATATTGCCCAAAAGCTGCTTCTTCATGGTGATACTAAAAATCTGAAGTTGAAGAATTTTCTGATGTTCACTCCAGAAGAGAAAAATGGCAACTTGGGTCATTGCCAATTTATTATTTTTGTTTTTTAATTTTCATATATTATACTACATATGGTTTTAAATTATAAAATTTATGTAGAATTGCCATTTATATTAAATCCTTCATTACTTCTATATATTCTAGGCAAACTACATATAGTGCTTGTATATGTTTACTTATTATCATTCTTTTATATTAGTTTGTCGATTTAGTCCATTTTATCTAAAAACGACGCTATGAAAATGTAGACCAATCGTTAATCGTAGCATTTCAAAAGAGCATAAGTCAATTTTCAATAGCAAAGCCCTGAAAAAGGACAAACGAGACGACATAGCCGATCGACATTGTCGCAAAATTGTCGATTGAAACAAATTTTGCCAACTCCGCGACAATTCACACAATTCGGTGTCAATACGTATGCGAGCTCGTATGTATGTATGTAAATATGTATGTTTGTCGACAATTTTATTTAAATAAAATTAAATTTTATTTCATTTTTTTATTTTATTAATTGGAGTCTAACCATATCATAATTCAATTTCTTTAATAGCATATTTTACTTCCTGATTACGCGTATTTACACAAATGTGATAATCACATTCTTAAAAACACGCTTGCTTCTTCTTGCCCCGCACAAGCAATGACTTTTGTCCACACTTTTTGCTTTTTGCGAGAAGCAAGTTGAACGATCGCAAGCAAGAAGGGGCTAGGGGCGCACTGCCACATAATTATTTCAGATAGTTTTTATTAATCGAATTTATTTTAAAAACGATTATAAGTATGAATTTATGTGTATTTATATTTGTACGTATATTATTAATATATTACGAAAATAAGTCATTAATGAATTAGTATTTTTCAATACAAATTAAGCAACATATTAATATATTATGAGTCCTCACTTGACACGCCTCTGTGCATGGTGGCAAGCCAAGGAAATAACGGCGAGTTCGCGCGGACATTATGTTGTTGAAAAAAACCAAATGACGACTTTGTCCACAAACATACATATATACATATGAGCTCGCATACATATTGACGCCGAATTTTGCGCATCTGGCGGAGTTGACAAAATTTGTTTCAATCGACAATTTTACGACAATGTCGATCGGCTATGTTGTCTCGTTTGTCCTTTTTGCAGTGGTTTATTAATTTAATTTGCATGAGTTTCAGGATTCAAACGTATAGGCTTGTATTCGGATTGTGCGTAACCCCTTCCCGCTTACGACCTCAGCCACCTCAAAAGTGGAAACGCGGCCACCGTTTTATTGTTATCCTTTGCTCAATAAGCAATTGCTCAAGCAACGCACATACATATGAAAGTTGGAAAAATTGCCTATTAAATGTTTATTTTATTATGAATTCTGGGGTTTTTATCGGTAATACAGATTTTTAATTCAGAGGGCTTTTCATAATTATAAATTTGTCATATCATAGATATTGAAAACATAAATCTAAATAGGTATGCGCAACGATTTTTCATTTAGGAATATTCGTTGCGTCTATTATTATAGCATTTCGCACATTGCGTGGTGTATTTTTCTTTTTCGAAGTTATATTTTTCGATGTTCCCTCATCTGGAGCTACAAATTAGTACTGTAGTGCAATTTTATATAAATTTTATAATTTAATGCCATAAAAAGTGAAAAGAAAATAAGCCGCGAGTTCGATTGAATATTATTGGCCGATGATGGTGCGTCTACGTTTTTTTTGTCACTTGCGCCAATGTTTGATTTTTTGCGAAAGCATATTGAGGGACATATATATGCACATATGTGTACATATATGCAAATATATTTGGACATGCGAATGAAGGAAGGAAATTTCAAGAATATTCACATATAGACATATGAACTTTTGAAGCAAGTAAACAACAATAGCTGTTTGAGTTCACAGATTAGACAAAGTGAATTGAATATTTTCTGTGGTGCTGCTTGTATAGCATACTTAATTATTGCAACGTGAAATATTTTGCCTAAGTTCATCTCCTATCAAATATTTTTTATACTCTTTTTATTTTTTTATAACCCTTTTTTATTAAATGATATTTTAATTTTATTTGCATATTATTTCCCTCATTATTTATATTTTCTTGTCAGAAGTCAATTTCTTTCGTTTTTATTATTTAAATTTTTGTTTATGCGCATACCAAAGAACATATGTGCATATGTATGTATATACATTTTGCTTATAGAGTGGTGTTGTTCGTTGCGTACCCTGATAGGTGTGGTGACATTTTATTTTCGAACTTGCTCGTTTTCGATGTTCCCTCATCGTAATTAACATTTTAGAACAGTTAACATTTGCTCCTTCTCTATTCATTTACATTCTCTGCTCCTTCTCTATTCATTTACGTTCCCTGCTGTTACCATAGCCAACCTTTCTAACTTTTGCGGTAGATGTCGCCAATTTAAGTACGTTGGGTGCGTGTTCGTATTATGATAAATTATTAAAACTAATTCAAATTGGATATCAAAACTTAAAATAAAACATATTATTAAAAATTTAGAAACAATAATTTAATAATACCAATAAATAAATTTTAATCTACAATGTACATAGGAGCCCTCGGGATTGGTAGTCATTTTAACCATACATTAGCTTAAAACAATACGGCAACTACCAATGGTATGTTTCATTTGACACATTTACCAAGTGTTGTCTCTTTTAAAAAAATTTAAACCAATCGAAGTTTATGAAGAGTTTTTTACTGTAAATTTATGTGTATTTTAGTTTAAGCACATTGTTATTGGTAGCTAGTTTTAAAATTACTTACTTTTCCCAAAACATCTTACTTTAGAATAACAGCGACTGTTAAAATACTAGAGGTGGCAAAATGTAATGGGTTAGAAAATATTGTATTTTTATAGCATTACTTATTGATGCGTCATAAAACACTAGACAATGTTGTGTGTAACGTGCGGTGCGACTACTAAGAAATACAAATGTCCAAAATGCTTGGAAGCATAGTAAGTTTAATTATTGTACTCATTGTTATGTACATATATCGACGTAATATATATATTTTTTTCCGTTTAAATAAATAAAAGTTGCTCGCTTCGCTGTTACAAGAAACATCAAGAAGTACTATGTCTACCAAATCATAACGTAGACAAAATCGTAGAGCACGATCGCAAACTGGAACCCACTCTGCATGAACCTTTTAGTACTGAAGACACGGTATCACGTAACAATCTGGAACTTTTAAGTAATATAGTCCAAGTAATTCTTGTGATTGTTATATTAATACGAATTTATTTTATTACAATAGAAGACTGTAAAGCATTACATGATTTGCTTTATAATATACATCTACGAAATTTACTTTCTGAAATTGATGTGGCCCCTGATGCTTGGAAGGCTATGAAAGCAGCAATGCAAGAACCGCTTTTTTTAGAATTTGCTGATGAATGCTTAAAACTTGTCGAACCACAGAATGCCCTTGAATAATAGTATATTACCTATTACTTATATTAAAAATGGATTTAATTTGACTATTTTCCAGGTTTATTTGTTATAAGTCTTCATAATCCCGAATGAATTGTGGTCTTTCTTGCCAGTGTATAATGTAATCGAATACTTCGGGAGGCGCCTCGCATTGGTCTAATTCAATTGCCAAACCAAAGTATCGTTGACGAAGTAAATATGCAGCCGATTTTGGCTGGCGTTGACGTGTAAATACTCCTTTCTTATTACCTCCAACGCGCGTGTATGCTGAAAATAGAAATCCATTTCGACAAAAAACTTATATAAATTGAATATTTTTGATATACTTTGTGCAGTTTTGAAATCAGCAAAATTCCATACGAATTCTCCAATAAACCACTTTTGCGATCTTAGGTTGTCGAACGCTTTGAAGTGCTTGCCGAGTAGTGACCACTGATAATCCTCCGACCAAATATATGCTGGAAGCTGATTGCATTTAAGTTTGAAAATTGTCAATTATATTTTTCTTACTAAACTTAATTTAATTTGAGTAATCTTATTTTTTACTTACAAAATGTAATCCTTCATAAGTATCTGCACCGTACTCTGTCATTATAATGGTTTTATTGTGCATTACATGCCACAATGTTGCTTCGTCCACTACATGTTTTGTAATCATATCCAATTGTCCGGCGTTTTGGTACCATGCGTTATATCTATTAAAACATATTATATCCAAATATTGTCCCTATTTTTTAATAATCTTGTATTATTGTACTGTGGAATCAAGTGCTTAATGCATATTTTACCAATTTATCTTTTTTCGCCTCAACGTTTAAAGCGGCCGTGATAGGTCTCGTGGGATCCAACGACTTGGTATAATTTGATAAAATTCTTCAAAAAAAAAAATATGGGAAACAAATGATGTACAACAGTAATTCAAGAACGTAATTACTTAAAATATTTTTCCGCCTGGGCATTACCGGAACGAGGTTCATTTGCAATAGACCACATAATAACACTGGCATGATTACGGTCACGATGTATTAGTTGTTCAATCGAGGATTTATGATTCCGTAATAACAATGGTTCAAAAATACTACATTATTAAATACGTATGTATATTATATGATGGGGACAAAACATAATTATTAGTGTCTTAGAGTCAGATTAAAATAATTACTCTGCATTAACGCCTGCACATTCATCTATGACCATGATGCCAAACTCATCAGCGAATTGCATTGATTCCTCTGAATAAGGATAATGTGAGGTACGATAAGCATTTGCTCCAATCCATTTTATCAAATTAAAATCCCTTGTCAGCAAGGCATAGTCAAATCCTTTTCCTCGTATCTAAAATCATTTATATAAGAAAGTGAATATTTCGATTTTTAATCTTACGTCAGAGTCCTCGTGTCGCCCGAATCCTCGTAAATAAATCGGGGCATCATTTAAAAGAAAAGTTGAATTATTCCATTTTAATGTGCGAATGCCGACTTTCATACGATATACATCTAGGAGAGATTTATCAACAGCATGCAAATATAATTCCATAGTATATAAATAACCGGGTTCGGGGCTCATCAAATATGGCCACCAGGGCATAACGTCTTTTACTACAATAGTGCCATTCAACGTTGTTTTAGAAATACTATGAGCTACTATTTCACCTTCTTTGTTGCGTATTTGCACATGTACATAAAGAGGTTCTATTGGTGGATCAAAAACAACCACTTTACTTTTATTGCCCTTTACAATAACTTCATAATGAACAAGTCCTATACAGCATAATTGTATTTATTAATTAAAGGAGTAGATATGTTTGTTCATTATGTAACGCTTACCTATATGGTTCTCAGTCAAATCGGTTAAAACCTTAATATCTTCAATGTAAATAGCAGGGGTGGTATAAAGATGAACAGTACGGTGTATACCAGCATAATTGAAGAAATCAAAAGTATACCGTTGGATCATAACCATACCATTATCACTGAAATATTCAAAATGAAACGCTCTAAAAGCTTTAAGATAAATTCCCGCCTTATTTTACCCTTCCTCCTCAACTATCGTTCCCTGTGGAATTGTTGAATTTACAAGCGTGTTGTCGCAGATTAAAGTTAACCTGTTTTCACCTCCAAAGTTCACGTGGTTTGTTATTTCCGACTCGAACGGTAAGTGCCCAATAAAATGTGACATTACTTGTTCTCCATTAATCCACTAAATACAAATATACGAAAAAACATAATAACAAATACTGAAGCTTTCAGTCTTAGGCGGTTATTATTTAAAGTATCTGATAACATAAAATGCTCCGATAACAAATAAAGCTTAAGTACCCTCCTCTTTTATGGTAGGGATTATAAAGGGATTTACTCATAAAGAGTAAAAAAACTTTAACAGGGTATATTTAAAATAAATTTTATAACTTACAACAATAGCTGCATAGTGAACGCTTCCAAAACGTAGCCAAATGCGCTGATCCATGTTCCAGGAATGTGGTATAAAAAATTTTGTTTCGTACCACACTGTTCCAATATGATCACGCAATTTAACATCGGCACTAATATCATTATAACTTGAAGGCACTGGCATGGGACGTGTGGGTCTCACCTTGATTCATACATGTTAAATAATATGTTAAGCTTGTGAATTGAAGTTTACCTTGTCCAAATCAGCTTTAAACCAACCATCGCGCACACCCTTCATGGGATCATTAACGTCTGACTGCAAAAATCGCCAAATGCCATCCAGCGTTCGTACTTCACGTGACTCAGATTCCCGTGGATAAAGAAGACCACGAGTTGAAGACGTATCTTGCAACCCCATATAATCGAATGGTTTACCTGTGGTGTCTATTTTATTGCTTTTGTTTGCTGGTAAATCCTGTATTTTCAGTTCTATTATTCCTAAGGAACGATCGATACTCCCCAAAATTGCAAGTAAAAGGTTCAGAAACCTAATGTACGTTCTCACAACAATCATGCTTATAATAGCGTTTTACTACTCAATAATTTTCCACTACTTTTAACTTAGGAGACAATAAATTTGCTTGAATCTTCCTTTGTTCTTGCAGAATACTTCCCATGTAAACAAATATCAGCTGATAAGCACAACCTACATGCACACACCTGCGTTTAGTAAATAAAGGGTACATATACCCTACAAGAATAATGACAGTCATCGCTGAAAAATTTTTGTCAGCGCGCAGAACAAAGTTTCTATCATTTTCTTAAGAGCCTTGTGCAGAAACTGATGAAAAGAAACGCATGTGTGTTATTGCATTGTGTGCACCTATATTTAACATATGGATATTCGGAATTGATTTACTATACTTATATGTATATGTATATTGCTCACTTTCATGCCTTTTTCTGAGTCATTGCTGATCATAAAACCGTCAAAGCTGATAACTGACTGTAAATCTATAGCGGCCTTTACACGGTCATTCATGTTTGCAAGCATGTGCGGCGTGATGAGAAGAATGAGCGTGTAAACATAATAAATTCGTGTTCGTCATACATGTGCGATGGTTTTTAAAAATTTTTAAAAACATGATGTTGTTATGAACATGTTTTATGGTGTAAACGCTTGCATCATGCACGCAGTATATTTTTTCAGTCGTAAGCAAACATTGAAGTGTAATGACGTCACGGATAAACGAAGAACTGTGGAAGGACTTCTTTGAAATTTATCTAAGCGTTCTGGATGGCTGGATTATAAATTTAAAAAAAAATCATATAGCATAAAAAAAACATATAAATAAAAAAAAAGTATAACAAAGAAACAATACAAGTCATAATAAAATATCATGGTTTTATGATGAACGTTTTAAATGAAATTAGCAAATAAAATTTAGTTGCACGTTGTTCAAAAATATTCGTGTCGTTCCCTGAAATTTCGTTTCGCACTGCTTTTGTTAGCTATTTTTAGCGGGTTTATTTCTGGCATCCCGCCTTTTTTGACATCAGCTGTTCGAAATTCCCTGATTTTAATAATCAGGGAAAGAGAATAACAGAAAAATCAGCGAAAATGAGATAGTCTCGCTTCATGTCATCCTTGTCATTTCATCCTTGATGTTGCTTCGTTCACAAATAACAGAGAAATAAAGTATGATTGCATGTTCGGCCGTTTAAACGAAAACCAGTTTTTTTTGCATCACACCATGTTTGCATACAAAAATGACCGTGTAAAGGCCGCTTATCACAAAAGACAAATTCTTTTGCGCAGTATATAAAATAATTTTTATTTTTCAATAAATTTTAAACTTTAAATCAAAATTAGTTATAATAATCAATATAAGGAGGAATGCAACAAAATATATAATGAAATAATAAATTATGAAAAGAAATTTTCACTTGATTCCATATCTTCCTCTCAATAGCTCTGCGTACGTCTTTCCCAATCAGTGTATGTTATATTTGAAAACTCCCCTCTCTCATTAAAATGTACTTATGTTTAGGATTATTTACATTAGTTTAAGATTATTTTCTTATAATGTCAAGTCTGATCTGGCAATACTGTCTTATCTAAGCTTTATATTTGTCATATCTCTTTTATCATTCATTTCTCTTTATAATTATGTTTGTTTACGCATATTTAAAGTTACGGTATTTTAAAATTCTGTTGAACTTTTATAAATGTCGGAGGACATGTCAAGCAAACCGTTCACAATTGTACAAATCCTAATAAAGCATTGAGAACTCTATCCGCTGGTAACTTAATTATTTAACAATGTATATTTTTAACACAAAACCCAAAAGAGTTTTAAACAGAAGCGTGCTACACGCGGAGAACGTATATCATAGAGAAGGTTCACAGTGCGGCCAATATCAAAATATTTCACGTTTCGCAGGGGAACTGAAAACGATGAGCGTGTTTCACCACAGTGTACATTTAACCAGAGAACTTAAAACAATGAGAAGGTGCAGGTTCGACAGCGAAGAATTTGTAGGAATTTATCAAGGAGTTCACCACAGATGCTCGAGAAACAAATAATTAAAATTGTTTTAAGTTCTCTGATTTAACAGCAAGAGCCCATATAAAGCTGGATTGAGGGGTAAATGAGAAATAATATGTTAATATATAAATCGAAGAGTATCAATGTGCACAAAGCTAATATATATATACATAAGTACATGTGTATTTATATGCAGGTGTTTTTTGGATTTGAAAACTTCTTCTGTACTATATGCAAGTAGTTAGATTTTTTCTAAGTCTAATACACATATGTATGTTTTACTGGGGAAATTTAGATTTTTTCTAAGTCTAATGCACATATATGTATATGTTTTATTGCGCCAAATTGGAAGTTATAAGGGGATTCTGCTTTTGAATTTGAAAACTTCTTGTATACTATATGTTAGTAGTTAGATTTTTTCTAAGTCTAATACACATACGTATGTTTTACTGGGGAAAGTAAGATTTTTTCTAAGTCTAATGCACATATGTATGTTTTATTGCGCCAAATTGGAAGTTATATGGGGATTCTGCTTTTGGATTTGAAAACTTCTTGTATACTTTATGCTAGTAGTTAGATTTATGTATGTTTTCCTGGGGAAAGTAAGATTTTTTCTAAGTCTAATGCACATACATATGTATGCTTTATTGCGCCAAATTCAATTGGGACAAAGCTAATATATACATATACATATATATATTTATATGCAGGTGTTTTATGGTTGGTTGGAAAAGTTCATGTATACTATATGTAAGTAGTTAGATTTTTTCTACTAATACACATATGTATATTTTACTTGAGAAATTGCGCCAAATTGAAAGTTAAAGAGGGAATTCTGCTTTTGATTTAAAAAGTTCTTCTGTACTATATGCAAGTAGTTACATTTTTTTCTAAGTCTAATATGTCGTTTACTGGGGAAATTGCGCCAAAAATTAAAGTTGAAGAAGAAATCGTCAACGGAATTTTAGTTCTTAAAGAATTTCGTCGCGAAAGGTTAAATTCGTTCTCCAATTCGATTTTGCGCTTTTTAGTTTTATTTAAAATAAAATGGCGAGTAAAAATGTTAGAAAGTGTCGCGAGCGGGAGTGCACGACAGAATCTTCCAGAAGATTATTTTTTTTCCCCAGGAACGAGGAGGACTTCCAGAAGTGGGTGAAAAAATTTGCAGATCCCATCAACACAGGATTTACCCACCCACAATGCATTCGTTTGTATTAAGCACTTCGAACGAAATGCAGTGTATGAAGAAGTTGAAGGCATATGCTGTGCCCACCCTCCACCTTGGTGAGTGCTCTTTATTTTAATTTAAACGTTGTATGAGGTATTTTTAAACTCTCGCAACATGTTGCTACATAGTATAATAGTTTTGTTCACCTAACGGTTGTTTGTATCACCTAAAACTAATCGAGTTAGATATAGGGTTATGTATATATAAATGATCAGGATGAAGAGACGAGTTGAAGTCCGGGTGACTGTCCGTATGTCCGTCCGTCCATCTGTGCAAGTTGTAACTTGAGTAAACATGAAATAATTTCCCGGGCTTTTATCCTTGCTAGTTGCGAGAGTATAAAATGTTCGGTTACACCCGAACTTAGTCCTCCCTTACTTGTTTAAATATCGCAGTGTATAATTTTATATTTATGTATGTATAAGCTCTATATGTTGTATAAGCAGAGAATGTAAAAGAAAAGAAAGTTGTTCTAAGTTCTCTGATATAAGTTAGTTTATGGTTTGAGGTGTCATCATGTGTGGTGATATATGTGCACGGTGTGGTTATGAGTGGTACTCCCGGGTGTGGTAGGTAGTATACGGGTGTGTCCGATTTTGTTCCGAGTGATGTTGTGTGATATGTACATATTACGGGGGTAGAGTAAACCTATATAGAATATGCAATATTATTATTATTTATATATATTTTTTCTATATATAAATAATATATAGTATATTATTTATATAAATAAGATAACATTTTTGTATTTTAATTGAATTATATACATACATATGGGGAATTAATTAAAAAAAAAAGATGCTGTATTAGCAGCTGCGTGAAGAGAGCGACAACGCTTTTTAAATTTCCGCGAGAGGAAGATGTTCGACAGAGTTGGGTAAAGGCTCGCAACTTAGTCGTGTCGCCTTCCGATACCCTTTTTATTTGCCGAAATCATTTTGATTCGCAGTACGTCACTAAGTACAAACTTTTGTCTGGGGCTTTTACCTTGTTTGAGATTAGAGCCAGCACTAAGTCGTAGCTCATCTAGTGCTGACTCTAGTTGGGTGTGCCCGCCCGTCACTGTCACTTATGGTCGTCCTAAAGTAGCTTTAGGAAGTAGAGAATAAGAGGACGACATAACTTTGAGGGAATTCGAAAGATATTCCATTTTAGAGGATAATAGATTAGGATTAGAACCACAAAGTAACGACGAGGGCTGTGCATTAGATAGCCGCGAACGATTTGCTCGATCAGCACGTTACTATCAAAGTAATGCGGTTAAATTGAATAGAAAGATCGAAGAGTTAGAGGGGGTGATTAGAGATTTAGAAATTAAATATCAAGATCTTAGAAAAAGTGCAATAATTGCGGATGAATCTTCAAGCTCTGATGCTAAAACATTCGCTAGGATGATCGTCACGAAGCGCACTGTTTTTAGTGATGAGGAAAGGGCATTGGCACAAAATATTAATTACATGTCCAACAAATCTTATAGTTTTATGCGTGACGATTTAGGTCTCGCTTTACCAAGTACGAGATCCCTTTTGCGATGGCGCCCCATTAGGTATGTTGTCCCTGGCTTCGATGCCAATGTCATGGGAAATTTAGAAAAAATTTCCAAAAAAATGTCCGTTTTAGAACGAAATTGCGTTCTGTTATTTGACGAAATAACAATAAAGTCCGACCTAACTTATAATAGTGTTAGAGATGTTATTGATGGGTTTGTGGATTTTGGGGAAGGCCATCGTGAAATGGCTTTCAGTAATAAGTGTTGTTTTTTTATGATAAAAGGGTTAAGTTCACATTGGAAATATGTGTTTTCATACTATATTTCCAAAATGGACTTTCCACAAAAAAATTGGAAGAAATTCTGAATAAAAATATTGCAGCACTAAAGTCAATTGATCTAAATGTAAAGGCTTTAGTCTGCGATCAAGGGTCTGCAAATTCTTCACTTTTCAATTAGCTAAAAATTTCTGAAGAGACCCTTTTATATGCACGAAAATTCTAAGATATATTGCTTATGTGACTATTGCCATCTCTTGAAGTCGTTAAAATATCCGCTATTAAAGAACGACTCCGGGAAGGTCCAACGCCTCTATGATTATATAAAGTATCTTAAGTCAATGAAACTTCCGACCAATGCTCAAGTGAAATGTATTAATGTGTTCTGTTCCACAATTATTGGAATGATACAGTTGAGCGGAGAGCTATTTAGGGGTAAAAATGAATTAAGTTATATATTCCTTGGGAAAATGAAACAAGATGCGTTGGAAAACTCTTTTTATAGAGTCCGGGCAAGTCAGGGTATCAATAGCCACCCCTCTGCCTATGAAATCCAACATATTGTAGGTCGTTTAATTTCAATGAAAATTTTTAGACAAAATTTTCAGGACAAGGGGGCTGATTGCGGGGATGATGACGATATAAATTTAGATTGGAACCTAGGCCCCGAAGATCGTCATCTAGATATACTGGGAAACGAACCGGAATATGAGCAACTCGACTTGGAAACATTTACAATTCCAGACGAGAATTTTGTTAAAGAGGACGACAAAGCTGACGTCCAAATCAAGCGGTATTATACAGGCTATGGTATATACCAGAAAATTCTGTGTAAGATTCATTGTGAAAAATGCACTAAGACAATGACGAAGACACAGAGCGATTTAACGCTGTATTCGGAGGCCCTAATCAGAGCAAGAAATTATAAGGATGACAGCGATTTAAGGCTAGTCAATCCTAGTGATAGGGTCTTCGAAGTGTGTCGACTGCAGATGATGTGGTACGTCAAGCTCTTAAACAAATACGCTCATTATCCAAATGTTCAAGAGAAGAACAGTTATAGCCCAAACAGTCACCGACATTCCTCCCTTCCGTACTTACCGCCCGTATCAAACCAAATTTGTCAAAAGTTATCATTCCACTGTCGAAAGAAAATATATTGGGAATTTTAAAAATAACTTTTGGGTATTTTGCATTTTGATATTATTTTTAGGTGCTCGGTCCCCGAGTAGGCCTATATAACGATACACGTGTTTTCATATTATAAAATTTTTAAAACATCATATAACATAAAAATTTAATATACAATACAGTTGTTCTCTTTGGCTTTCACTTCTCCAACGTTGCCATTGTTCTATTTGTATACTCTATTTCTTACACATTTAGTTTTTTAGTTATAATTTTTAATAATGTTAAAGCTAAGAACTAAAATCCAACTATTAACAAGTAAGGAAGGGCTAAGTTCGGATGTAACCGAACATTTTATACTCTCGCAAAGTCAAATAGTATACTCGTTTGAGATTTCTTTGTGGATTGGCTGATATTTTCGGTAGAAGGTCAACTAGAGGCACTGGGGTCCACATATTTAGTACTTAGGGGCTTAAACAGTTTTGGTTCGATTTAGACAATTTTTGGCCACAAGGTGGCATACTTTAATCGCATTATTCACGCAAAGCTTTATCCCGATACAGTCATTGTTGCCTGATTTGCATAGTGGAAAGTGAAATAATCAGATGGAATTTAAAATGGTGTTATATGGAAAGTAGGCGTGGTTGTAGTCCGATTTCGCCCATTTTCGCACTGTGACATAGAAACATGAAAAGAACGTTATGCACCGAATTTGGTTGAAATCGGTTAAGCAGATCTCAAGATATGGGTTTTCCCCTAAAAGTGGGCTGTGCCACGCCCACTGTCTAATTTTGAACGCGGTTCCTATAAAGTCATCTTATACCATCTCAGAGATAAAATTTAATGTCTCTGGCGTGTTTAGTGCTTGATTTATCGCGCTTTTAGTAGTTTTTAACAGTACCGTTATATGGGGAGTGGGCGGAGTTGCCACCCGATTTCAACTATTTTCACACCGTCAATAGAAGTGCTAAAAACATTTGCTTCCAGTGAATTTTGTTATTATAGCATTAGCGGTTTAGGAGATATGCACATTAAACCTATTAGAGGCGGGACCACGCCCACTTTTTAAAAAAAAATTTTAACTGCAGATGCCCCTCCCTAATGTGATCCTGTGTACCAAATAACAGTCTTGTATCTTATTGCGTAGCTTAGTTATGGCAAGTTATTTGTTTTTGATTAATGGCGTTTTGTGGGCGTGGCAGTGGTCCGATTACGCCCATCTGCAATACCAACCGTCTCACGGTACCATGAAACATGTCTACCAAGTTTCATAAAGATATCTCAATTTTTACTCAAGTTAGAGCTTGCACGGACGGACGGACAGACGGACAGACGGACGGACAGACGGACGGACGGACAGACAGTCACCCGGATTTCAACTCGTCTCTTCATCCTGATCATTTATATATATATAACCCTATATCTAACTCGATTAGTTTTAGGTGATACAAACAACCGTTAGGTGAACAAAACTATTATACTCTGTAGCAACAGGTTGCGAGAGTATAAAAATAGTGTACCTATTTATAAATAAGTGTATTCGAGTGTGATTTTGAGTCATTTTAATAAAATTTTAAATATATTAAAGTTCATTTTTTAATTACTACAAAATATTGAGATTGGGAAACCTGCGTTGCAATAGATTGCTCTCTCACTCTCAGCTCACTCGTTTCTATGGAAAAAATCCAAACGGTAGAAGCGGTGGACATTGTTCATTTACATTGCGCTCTCATAAGATAGGTCGTATCAGCTGATTCGGTTCACGATTTTGCGTCGGTGACTGTTTGTGCCATAAAAATTGTTGTGCGCAGTTGTTGAGAAACTTATATGGAATTTTATGGGTCCCGTTTAGCTTCTACGCGAAGAGATAAGTGTTGACATGTGATGAATAGGGTTGATAAACGTTTTATGTTAACAACCATCACATTGACAGTAATTTTAATATTCATTTGACGTGTCAATGATGACAGTACTAAAGAATTCAGCTATTTCATTTTTATACATGTTAGCAATATAATTCGACGATGTCTCTGTTTAACAATAACAGTGTAGGTCAGTAGACAAGTAAACTGTTCGTCACGACTGACATAAAAATTTCTTGTAAGGATTGTTACTAAACTCTAAAAGGACAGTGACAGTCATATATCTATACTGCTCAGTCTCATGTCTTTTTCTGAGTCATTGCTGACCATTATCATCAGAGCTGCAATTTGTCAGTTTTGATTGTAAATCTATCACAAGTGAAAAATTCTTTTCCGCAGTAGATAATATAATTTTTTCTTTATTAAATTCAAAACTTTTAATTAAAATATAATAATATACATAAATATAAAAAAGAGTGTAACAAAAATATAAATAAGTAATAAATTATAAAAAGAAATTTTCGCTTGTTTCCATGCTTGCTTCTTTCAAAAGCTCTGCTGTACGTGTTATTCCAGTTCATGAATATTTCGGTATTTAAAATTGCCTAAATAAAAATGAAAATTAACTAAAAATATAATTTTATTTTAAACTTAATAATAACTTACGTATATTATATTTGAAACTCCTTCGTTATTTATTAATTTTTTAATTTTTTTTTTAACACAAAAATAGTTATTGCAGAGAAGCACGCAACACTTTTAGTTTACCGCACGGAATAATAACTACATAAGTAGGTATTTCACAACTTCTCGAAACTTCTATGGAAATGTATTCTGTCTCTTTTCGACGCATACAGAATTTGCTTTTGGAAAAATTGTAAACATTGACAGTCATTTTACTGTTCATTTGACTGTCAGTGCTGACATAATAAATGTGAGTGGATTGGTGAATCCATCAGCAGCATGGTATAAGGGATAGAGTCCCATTCACATTAGTTTCGCTACCTCTGAGGCGTACGTTCATAATAATACCAACATGGTGGCCATGGTGAGTTAGGGTGGCGAGGGGTTAAAACGGGTTGCGCATAGCAGAAAACGCCTAAATAATTATTTAAAAATATTTTAAATTTTGGTTATTAATTGATGATTAATGCTAACAATATATGATATTATAATATGTTGATATAGGTAAATATGCGGTATATTTTTAAGCATTTTAAATAACTTATTAATGGACAAACTGAAAATTCAATTTAACTATGAGCGGACGGGAAGAAATTACTATTGTAACAGAATTTGATATTATAAGTAATAAGAATTTATATAATCAAAAAAGCAAAACTTATCACTGTCATACAAGTGATAATAAGTCATTTAAACAATAAAGCAAAATTTATCATTGTACTTATATCAAGAAATAATTACTGTGCCGATATTTTCTCTAATTTAAGTATAGATTTATTTAATCACAAATTTTATTTACGTTTTATATATCAGCAATTAACGGGGATATATGTACAATAGTTTATTACAACTTTTGACATACAAAATTATCATATTATTATATAGTTCTTGGTTTAGTTTTTAAATATATAGACTTCTATAATAAATTATTTTTTGAAGTTGCAATATCTTTATAGTATAAAACACGGTAGGCATATCATATAGCTGTCTCTGTATTTCAGCATGTAGCGATTATAATACGTACAATATTAAACATATAACTCTTAACATAAATAAATTACGATATTGTTATATAGTTCTAAGTTTAGTTTTTAAATATAGACTCCGAAAATAAATTATTTGTTGAAGTTGCAATATCTTTATAGTATAAAACATGGTATAAGGGTATAAAATACGGTGGATATATTATATTCCTTTTTTAAAAAGTAATTTAAAATTAGCTTGCGCAACACTGTTACGCAATGCTCAATAGCAATACTGGCATTTGAACTTATTAACAACTTTTACTCAAACACACTAATACACACCTGCTTATTGATAAAAGTTCTTGTGTGACCAGTTTTATCAGGAGAAATATAAATATTCATTATTTTACGAAGATTGTGTTGGAAATTTATAAACATTGCCCTCAGTTTCGTTGAATAAGCATTTTCTGCACCCCGTTATTTGACATGGTTGCTTAATTGCACCTTACATTTTTCTGTGGTGAATATTTATTAAGTTACCACAGTTAAAAAAAGGCATAAATATATATCGTAATTACTCTAAAATTTGCCAATAATAGCCACTCCTTTAAGAACATATATTAATATAAGCTTATTTTAATTTGAAAACATATTAAAGTTTTACATATAACCAATATTTTTTGGACAACTTTTTCATAAATTAAAAGAAAATAGCAAGATGCAACCATTTTCTGGTTAAAAGTCGGGCATCTTGGCTGTTAATAGAAACTCGACCCCTAGGCGGACTTGACGTTTCTCCATGAACTCCTCTCAGCTGTAGCTTTGTTTACATCGATCAGCTCATTCTTTCTCTACTCCCCCTTTACCCATATAACACCACTTTAAATTTCATCTGATTCTTTGACTTTCCACTATTCAAATCAAGCAACAATAATTGTATCGAGGGAAAACTTTGCATGAATAATGCGTTTGAAGTATGCCACCTTGTGACAAAAAATTGTCTAAATCGCACCAAAACTGTTTAAGCCCCTAGGTACTGAATATGTGGACCCCAGTGCCTATAGTTGACTTTTTACCGAAAATATCGGTCAATGTGTAAGATATAATACAATATATAATGGACATTCTTAAGATAAAATTAATAAATGAAACTCTCGATAATAGTATGTTTTTGTGTCAAAAATGGGTTGAATCGGAACAATACTTCATATATACCTCATATACCTAATATAAAGATTTTTGAACTTCCGGATGACTTTATACCGCATATATCGGCCAATATGTGAGTTAACTCAATGCAAATGAGAGCGCGGGTTTTACTTATAACAGCGTAGGTATCTTTGTGTCTAAAATGGATAAAATTGGGAGAAAACTACCTAGCCCTCATATAACAAATATCAGGATTTTTGAACATTCGGCTGACTTAACTACATATGATTGGTGATGGTATGTGAGGTACCTCAATGAAATCCTGGAAGCATTGAGGGAGTATGTGGCATATTTGTAGTAGTTGGTATGGCAAAAATTGATAAAATCGCGTTAATACTACCCTCAACTTCCATATAAGTACTACTTACAATGTTTTTCGTTATTCTAACCAGTTTTATGCCGAATATGTCGGTCAGTTAGTATTAATATTTTTTTTTCTCAAACTATTGTAGTATACCATTTGACTTTGCAAGAGTATAAAATGTTCAGTTACATCCGAACGTAGCCCTACTTTACTTGTTTTTATATTAATTTTTACAACTGTACCTAGTATATAAAAAAACAAACTATTAATTTCTAAATAAAATAAAAAATAAAATACTTAAAAACTAAATGTTAATGAAATACATTTGCTGCTACTGTTCCTTAATAGGTCGGAAGGCTTCTTAAGTTTCAACCGGATTTCTCGCCCAGCAGTTTCGATGAATCAGGAAACCCCCTCATTAACATGCTGTCAAGGCCTCAGTTCGTTTGCAATTTTGATTATTCTCTTTACCACTGAATTCACGCCTAGAGACACGGTGTCAGTCAGCAGATCTAACGTACCAAGGAGCATTATCTAAAGTGATACCTAACCCTGTTATGATGTGGTATAGGAGGAATATTTATATAATAGCTTAAACACAATACGGGCGACGACGAATATTCGTCGTACTCGGTGGCGCTGTCGGACGGATTTTCGCCGAGTGTTGCCGCCGTGTAAAACACAAAACGGACGATTTTCGTCGCAGCTAGTGTATATTCAGCGCTCAAAAATATCACAATAAATGACGAAACCAAACATAAACAATCTTAATATTGCTAACGCAGACATTTTCTTACATTATTTTTGAAAATCCTTAATATTTCTACTGAAAATAATCTTTCTTTGATATAGTGATGCCGTTTTTGCCGCCGCGGTCGGCTATAAAATTAGCCGTCGTCGCGTATTGTCTTAATCTTCATATACAATCGTGTGTTCGAATCAGGACGATATGCCAATTTTTTCAATGTAAAGTCGACATGAATTGATGCGTCACTTAGATGCCCACTTCGTAATTGCATTGATTGCTGCTAACAATGCTGTGTCATCCGCAAATATCGCTGTTACAATACATAACTTGGGTCAGTTCGGATGTCACTGGTTGAAAGAAAATTAAGCATTGGCCCCAACACGCTTACCTGGGGAATACCCGCTTCTATCGGTTGCAAGTTAGAGTAAACATGCTCTTGTTTATTGTGGATTGTATCTATATTTTAAGTAGGAAGCAATTATTTCGCAATATTGTTTGGGTAACATGCATTTTAACGAACATTCCGCCGAACAAACATTCCTTTTATCCATTGTATTTTCAACGAAATTAACAGTTCGGTGCACCTGATCAATTATTGAATGGTGGTCACGAAAGCCAAATTGATGTGCTGGTATGAGATGATTACGTTCTTTGGTAAGTTGCGTAATATTTCCCCGGTTATTAAATCGACCCCATGAGCTTTTTTGAACCTTATGTTCCCGATAAGATTTTTAGCTTCTGTACTAGTAACTGGAGAAATGCTGATGTGTGGATCCAACCAACTATTTTCACAGTTTATCTCATATCCATCGTTGGGCGCAAATGTGGTTCTCAAAAGATTTGCAAATACTTATGAACAATCATAAGAGCCTGGGAGCTTTGCCCATCTTCTGTTCGCTTTACTCGATGTAAGCATCCAAACACCTTTTAACTTTATACCGATCTACTGTGCCCAATATGCATTTGCGACTGGGCTTTACAAGTATATATATATTCTTTTGTTGCAAGTTTGTTCAGCTCCACTTCATGCATTACATGTTTCAAATCTGGATTTTTCTGCAAAGACTCATTTAAATAAGCGCCAATTTTATCCTCCTTTTCCGAAATCTGTCCTTTTATTCGCGGCCTCTTGTTCTTCAGACTTGAAATACAATATTTGCGTTGACAACTACTAAAATGCCGTCAAACTTGTAAAGAAAATTTTCGTTTTTCCTAAATGTGTTTCCGATTTAAAGACGTATTCGTCAACATTAATGTTTTCTGCTTCCATGGCCTGTCGCAACCGTGATCGTAATTCGGATTTTATTCTATATTTCATTAAACCACGTTTTCCATCTCTCTTTTAGATGTTGAATCTTCGGTTCATTAATCTTAGTCGTTTTGAAACAATTATCTCTTATGGGATTTTTATTGACAATTCCACTTCAGACACCAATTGTAACGGATTTACTCGATAAATCGTCTACCTTGAAACTCTACTTTCAGTTCGATCACTAGATCGACAAGTCACAAGGGCAAACGTTAAGCAAAGCTAGAATAGATTTAACTAAGGCTTGCTTTAACCATGGAAACGTAGGATGTTCACGTAAGAAGAATGCCAATAGAGTTGCTTTTCAAATAATATAATAAATTGTTGCGTTTTCGTTAAATGTAATATCTTAAAAATATTCTCTGAAAATTTCAAGCATATCCGATAAACTTTAAATGCGTTTTTCTCAAAACTATGTTTTTTGAACTGGTGACAACTGCTACTCGATAGATTTTACGAAATTTATACAGCTTTTAGAATACATAATAAACACGGGCCTGATCGAAAGATTTTTTTTTCAAAAATTTCGATTTTTTTAATCACGATTTTTTTTCCAAAAATCTAGAAAACAATTTCCTGAGGCCGCCATTTTGATAATGTTTGAAAAAAAAGATTTGATCAGGTCCAGGATTATCTATTTATAAAACTAATTTTTTTATCCGATTGATTTTAAATAAATTTCCAAGGACTTATGATTGTCACCGCAAGGATATTTTCTTGGAACTGGGTCAACAAAGACAGTTATAACTTTGGAAATTAAAAATTTTTTTTTTGAAATTTTGCGTTAAGATAGTTTTCCTAAAAGAAAAAAATCGGTTAATTGGAGAGATTTGAAAAGCAAATTATTATTCACAAAATAAAAGAATTTCTTTAAAATTAGAATAGGTATTTTTATACGCAAACTATAGAATATATAAATTATCGTAAACTCTGCAAACTTTTTGTTAAATTCAACGGGGACGAAAAGCTAATCATCAAATAGAAAAAATGTTATTAAATTTTTATTGGAAACATATGTATATGAAGATTTTATTCAAAATAAATTGAGCGATAAAGGAATAAGTGAGATTATAGCTAACATCTTAATTAATATATATGTACTTGTACCTATAATAAGTATTACTTTTTGGAAAAAAGTTCGGAAATACAACCATTGATTCAAAAATTTAGTGGAAAGCCTTCCCGATAAGATAATATCTCAATAAACTCTGAGGTTGAGTGATAATTATTTCTAAAGAGATATGGATATCAATACATTTTGGAATACATTTATTACCATTGTCAATAACTAGTACAAAGGAAACGCGTTATGAGTGGTCAGCAAAACTAGTTATTTGTAAACGTTTTCAATGCATTATGAATAACCTTTCCAAGGTTGGATTACTTCCAGGTAAGAGTACTCTCTAGACGTGATTGGAGAAGAGGTTTAGTATGTTACTATCTCAATCTATATCGACGGGTCCAAAATGGACTGCTAACAAGAAGGTGCAGGTTCGACAGCGAACATTTGTGAAATTTTATCAAGGAGTTCACCTTACACGCAGGAGAAACAAATAATATTTCTCGCTTTTATAACCGCGGTGAATCTGTACACATACACTCTCTTAACATAACCAACCGGCGAATATTGAAGAGAATATAATATGTATGCCAAACTGGGAATATTGATATGCCATTTGAAATATATTTCCTTTTATTGAACCATTATTTATTATTTTTTAAATTATTTTATGTTAATTCATTTTTACTTTATTATGAGAAATATATCAAAATACTTTTAAATTATTACTAATAAAGTATTTTGATATATTTCTTAAATAATTCATGTACTTGAACCATAATCGAGTCACAAAAGTACAGAATTGTGTATTGCCGTCGGCATTTTCATATCATGTGTGCATGTAAAGAAATATGAAAGAAAAATATTTGTAACCATTGCTTCATTTGAAATCTCCGTTGACACGGACAACCAATGCTCGAAGCTCACGTTTTTTGCTTTTATGTCAAAGAGTCAATCTGTCGAAGGGCTGACGCGACGACAAAGCGTCACAACATTGTGTTGTTGGTAGAAAATCCGAGCTGTGCCGAAAAATAACTACTAACTAACGCACATATTTGTACATACATACTTACTTAGTGCAGTGCGCGCACATGTATTTATTGACAAGTGATAATATATTATTATATTATATAATATAACATATTGATGTACATATGTACATAAATAAATTATTAATTCTGTAACAATTGAAATTATGAAAATAGTAAAATATCATTTTTTGCATAATCTTTCACATATTATCATTGTAGCATTTGTACAAAATAATTATATTTTATCAATTTTTCATCATAAAAATCGTTAATATGGCAAAAAATAATCATGCATATGTGAAGTGGCATTTGCATTTTTTGTTTTCTCATTCGTTTCATTTCATTTTTCTTTTTATGTTGGGAGATACGTATTTTGTCAGAGAACGTTGTTATAAATTATATTGTTAGCCGTCCAATCGAGCATCATACAAAATTCAATTTGCACCTTCTCGTCCATTTACGTTCTCTGGTAGTACTGCTCATTTTAGTACTAACAAACTGACCAGTACTAGTGCTTATTGAGACCATTTTAGTGCACACAAACCGTTTAAAGAATTATGAATTTTAAAGAATAAAAATGGGAAAATTGGAGCAGTTACCTATGTACATATATGTTTTTTGTATGAAACTTTTGAACAATTGCAAAAGGGATACCTGCTCACACGTATACGTGCGTGTAAGAAGAAAGTGGTGAAGATTGTCACGCCGCCTATAGTTTTTAACCACTTTTGGTTGGCAGGGATAATGTATGTAAATTTGCCTACATGCAACATATATACATATGTACATATATTTATATGTACACTCATTGCTTCATCCTTCTCCCTTGATCCGGACAACCAATGTTTTTCATGTCAAAGAGTCAATGTGTCAAAGGACTGACACGACGACAAAGTGTCACAACATTGTGTTGTTGGTGGAAAATCCGAGATGGGCCGAAAAAAATAAACGAACGCTCGCCGATTGTCACCGCTTCCTTTGCCGCTCTAACGGCTTTGCCAGCAAACTATCGTAAATATATTTCACAAAGTTGTTCAATATATGATTTTTATGGCACAAACAATCAGCGATGCAAAACCGTCGACCGAATCAGCAGATACGCTCAAGAGATCTACGTGGAAAAAAGTGTTATAATACAACATGCTATATCCGCCGATATCATGGAAACAAATACTTTTCCCCCTTAGATAATTTGGAAAGTATTGAGCAACAGAAAGCCCAATCCAAAAAATACGGAAATCATTAATTTCAACGGATCTACCAGAACAAGAAACTACACGGTTGAACTGCATAACAAATATCAGAGAGGAGTATCAAAATTACGGAAATATGGGCTCAAGAAGTGGATTATAATATCTTGGGACTGCATATACCAGGATCCAGTAATGGAGAGGTATTTATTAATTCATCACATCCAAGCAACTGACTAAGGATAATAAATCCAAGAGGGTGAATTGAATGCCTAACAGAAGGATTCTACGGACCTACATACCTACATGTATGTGTCGAGTGTGCTGGAGCATTACTCTTAAAGGCTCGATCAATTGGAAGAACTATACTTCACAGATTTTGTAAGGTTCAGATTTTCTAAAACAAGCAGAAATGTATCTATTAATAATAAAG